ATACGTCTTAGATTGAGCACATTTTCTTGTGAGTAGCATCTTTGTTATGTTTTTCTGGACAGATTTGAGAGAATATTAAAATGAGATCTACTATATATCTTAGGTAATATCCGAATAGTACAATGATCAGAGTTGAGTAAAATTTAAATTTTTCTAAAATTTAAATTTTTTACAGGAACGACTAGTGAAGAAGTTAAGACCAAGGTAGAATAAGAGACTGGACAAACATTTTCTGTAAACAGAGTTCAGGGTTGTATTGATGAATTGCCAGCGCCTCTGCCATAGACAAAAGAGCCGAAATCTGACGCCCATTGTACCATTTGGCCTCACCTTGTAGATGATCTTGAAAGACCACTATGGCGAATCTAAGTGGCTTGAGTTCACCACTTGCTCGAGAATTGAACTAGTAACTGTCTTGCATTGTCCTTTTGCTAAATATGCCGGATAATGTTCAGAGATGCGTTTGGAAAGTGTGAGCTTTTTGCAGCCAATACAACTGGCCCCACACGAAACGTGGTCATCAGTAAATACTACTATGTATATATATATATATATATCACTGTGAGACTTTATCAAAGTAAGAATGTTATCCATGATGGAATTATACTCTGTCACAGTGGCGAAGTATTATCCTTAAATGTCTTCACTATTCAGTTATATTGTTTGTGTCGCTAACAATGAACTCATACACATTTTAACTAATTTTACCCTACTGTTGAGCAATTAATGCATGCTTAAGACGAGATAGCATTGCGTCGTCACATGATATGCTATTTATACGGACTGTTATTTTACTTGAAAGTCCTTAGTGAAGAGGAAACATCTATGGAATCAATTTCGCTGAGAATTCAGTTCATTGTGTGTATCAGTGTCCAGAATAAAGCTATTGTTATCATTACTATTATTAGTTATTATTATTCCCTTGAGATCCGAATGGAACGTAGGGCTTCAACAACACATCTCTACTTTATTCTATCCGGTACTGTCCTCTTCAACTGGATCCACGATTGCCCATAATCTCTTCTCTCCTCCTCCCCCTCAACAAGATCTCCTCCATGTCACCCTCACACCGACGACCCACTCGTCGCTTCCTATGGGGATTTCACTCGAGCTATGGCCTGGCGCGTGATTTCATTCGACGGCCTCCTTCCTCAATGTATGCTCGATTCATCTCAATTTCCTCCTACACATTTGTTGAGCTATCGACGCTTCGTTATTTCTTTCCAACACTTTTTTGTTGCTTATTCTTTCTGGCCTGCTGGCCATTTGATGAAAGGTGATGAGATTTTGCAACCTGTTGGAAATCCCTTTCGTGGCGCACACACAGTGCAAATTTCCGACCCGTATAGAAGGACGGACTTGACGTTTATGTTGAAAATCTGAATCTTGTTCTCTGTGCTGGCTGAGTGTAGAAGATTTCCAAACTGGTTTCAAGTTGATGAAGGCGTACCTAACCTTTCCAGTTCTGACTATGACATCTTCATCCTTCCCACCTGTGGTTGAAACGATCCTTCCTGGTTGGATAAGTGAAGGCGGTAACCTCTGTCAAATCTCTCCCGATGATGGTGATTGCTTATGGCTTTTGTTGTCGCCCTTTGTTTGTCTGGTTAACTGCATCACCTCCGTCTTCTCTATGTTCGCCTGGAGTCCTGTCTTCACCGCCTACCTCTTCTACAAGTTTTCTTTTGGTTTTCGCCTATACGTCTTCGAGTTTGTATGACGTTAAACATAAATCATCCCCGCATGAAATCTAGATCTTTTAGAGTCTTCTTATTGGTAGTCCAGCGTATTCCTGTCTCCTCGCTCCAAGCGCAAAGTCTTCCCCATAATCCAAACCATCACACTTAAGAATATCATCGGTGATAATATCAGTAGTAATAGTAGCAGTAATACTTGATTAATTCATCTCTCTGTCACTTCCGCAAAGGATAACAATTTAGTGCGAGCTGTTACTTCTTCTATTTTGTTTTATATTCCATTAAAATCCCTAGAGAATATTTACAGTTATTCTTTTGTAGAAATAAAAAAATAGCCTTTTAACTTATTTCTCTTACTTTCTCACTTTCTTCTCCCCTACCCCGGTTTTCCTCCTCCTCCTTCTCCATTCAATAAGAAACTTGATAAGCATGAGATATTCGAAGAACACAAGTCCTATTTATTGATTATATATAGAATTGATTAACAGTCAAATGAGTCGAAAATGTTTAGGAGAAGAGAAGAAACACAACAAACTAACTAAATAACTATTTAAAAACTAGCCAGCTAGTGGAGTTGTTTGTTAAACAATTTTACCTTTGATAAAAGATAATATACCAATTGATTGAAGAGACTAGAGGGGTAAATATGTGAACTTCTAACAATATGTGGGTTAGTTATTCGAGCGAATTTATTCAGTGGGCTAATAGGACGAGAAATATATTATCTGTGAGCTCTTATTATTAGTATTATTGTTTCCTTTAATTCCTAGAGGAATATAGGGCTTCAGCCGCACGTCTTCACTGCGTTCGGTTCTCTGCTAGAGTTTTCACCTAACTCCAAGTCTGCCCACATGCTTTCATCTCATCTTCACATGACATTCTCCAAGTCACCCTTGGAAGGCCAACTCCCCACTTTCCTTTCGATTCCACTCGAGCAATGGCCTGGTGTGTGATGTCACTTGATAGTTTTCTGCGAGTATGGCCAATTCACCTCCATTTCTTCCTGCATATTTGTTGCACAATCGGTTCCTGGTTGGTTCGCTCCCAGAGACCCCTGTTGCTGGTCTTTTTTGGCCGGCCATCTGATCTTGAGTAGTATTGAGCGAAGACAGTTAGCTGTTGATGAAGGTCTGTAGTTTGTTCGAAGTGCCATTCGTGACGCAGCGCCAAGTCTCTGATCTGTATAGTAGCACCAAATTCACAGTGGAGTTGAAAATACGGGTCTTGTTTTTCATGCTTAGGAGTGCTGTTGACATCCACAAAGACTTGAGAGTAATGAAAGCTTGCTTGCTTTCCCGATCCTCGCCTTGATATCCTCATCAGTTACATCCGCCCGTAGTTGAAACGAGGCTTCCTAGGTAGGTGTGTAGGTGAAGGATTTCGCCTATTTATGCTGATTGTTGTCTGCTGTTTTTGCTGTCGCTGTTGCTGTTGGCCAGGAATCTTTATCATCTCTGTTTTCCCTATATTCACTTGAACTCCGTCCTATCTTTGATGTTTCTTCTGCCAACTTGTTGCTTTTCATCACTTGCATATCTTCCAGTTTGTGAGAAATCAGACATATATCACCGGCGAAGTTCAGATCATCCAAGTTTTTTGTGTGGGTCCATTTTATGCCTGTTTCCTCACTGCTCGCTGTGTGTCTGTCGCATTATCCATTCTACCGCCCACTCCCGTCTTTACTTCTCCGAAGGATTCCGCGAGTTCCCCGTTGTGGGTTACTTGTCATGCAGCATTGTCATACAACTGTTGAATGAGATGCATAATTGTTGGCGGCACCCCTTGGTAGTAGCGAAGTACTTTCCAAATCACCTCTCGATCAACGCTATCGAAGGCCTTTTCAAAGTCAATGAAGTTGAGATAGAGAGCTGACTGCTGTTCCAGGTTATGTTCAATGATAATCCATAGTGTTGTGATTTGATCGATGCATGATTCAATTCCATATAGAAGTTGATTAATGACGACAGTGTTGACCGTGGAATATTTTGCATTTTAACATCTTGTCCATTTATCGGGGCAATATCATCCACATACTTTACCTTGATGAGACCGTAGACCGACAACAAGTCAATCTCCACTCACTCAAATGGATTAGGCTCAAATGTACTCGTATGTCGATGATGAAACTGAACAAAAATGGAGACATTGGAAATCCTTGATGGATGCCACTAGTTGCCACTACTTCAGATGACGAATAATTTAGACAATAAGAAATGGAGAATAATTGACCCGTTAAAAGGGGCGGAAATTTGGATAACCTTGTAACTAAACCACGCTGACACTAAAAATGTTTTGTATAATCTGAACTGAAGAAGACTTTTTAGTGTTTAATAGGTGACTCACCTTGATAAAGAAATGTTCTCGGTCGAATTTTAAAGTTCACAGAGCACCAAGGAATTTCCATTATGACATTTATTTAAGAACCCAAACACTAAAAGATCCCTAGACTGGGACAAACAGTCGCTTTCAGTCACCTCAATGTGTGCTTATAAATTTATTTGTTCCTGTAGAGCCATTTTTATTGGCTGCACAAAGTGAACACTTTCTTTCTAAATGTATCTCTGAACATTATCTGGCATGGTTAACGAGGGGATAATGCGAGACAATTACTAACGCGATTCTCAAGCGCTTAGTGAAGTTAGGCCACGGAGTGATACATGAGGTGTTAGGTTCCAGCATTTGTGTATGGCAAGAGTGTTGGCTGGCAGCACAACCGTGAAGTGTCTGTGCAGAAAAGATGGCGATCTTAAGCTTATCAGATTTTAAACCTTTTCTTTCCAGGATGTCATTATAAACTGACATTGGCTAGGGGACCATTGGAAAACTAGCTGAGGGTACTGGATAACTGTTCCTTCCTAGTTTGGGACTCTTCAGAATTACGCACCCACTGAGGTTGGGACCTAGGACCTTCTGGCTACAGGGCCAGAGAGCTCGTAGACCATTTAACTACTGAGACCTGATCCAATCGCCAGCCCATGAATTACAACTCCTGCCAATTCATTATATTGCACAACCACTAGGGAATGTCATCTGCTGCGAATAGTTGTCCTCATACCCGATCTGCTGTACCCTGCTGGTCACGACTTCATTTTGTTTTCGAAACAACTTCTGAGTAATTGTGTCAATTATGTCACCTCTGTTACTCACTCATTAGGTAGGGTAAATATAACTACTAGTGTACAGTCTCTGAAGATGATTTCGTCGACAAAGAACATTTTTCTTCACTGAATTGTCTTTTGTTTTACAACTTCTTATACATGTCTCATCCTTTGTTTTTTGTCAATTTTTCTATTTCATACTCAGATCTCAAACGTAGTGATCATGGTGTCTATCGATGTCGTGTATGGAATCAAGCTGGGGAAGCAGAAGCCATTGGAAATGTTCTAGTCCATTCTGAACCACAATTAGACTTAGTCCCATTCAATGGACATAATTATTTCTTCGGGCATAAATCATGGAAAGCATCTTGTCTAGTGAAAGGTTATCCGTTAGCAGTGAGAGCTGCTGACACTAACGGCAATCGTATGAATCGTGATGATTCAAGTGGAGGGATTAATCATAGTAGTACAATGGTTCCAGGAATTCAAGATGGAACAGGTGGAGTTGGAGCAGGAGGAGGAGGAGGAGGAGGAGGAGCGGGACGTACACCATCGGATTTCATCAGTCAACCAGTCAGTGAAGAGATATCATCAATTAAAATGAAAATTTTCAATGTTGAAGGTGAACCGTTGGATCGTGTTGAAGTCAAGCAAATTGATTATAAGTCAGGGAAATTTATTGGGTAAGTTGCTTTGAATATTAATTAATTTTGCATATCTATCAAACAAATTTAATTGGCAGGCGTCGGTGGCATAGCGGTTAGGACGCTCGCCAACCATGCACATGGTCCAGGGTTCGATCCCCGGTCGACGCACTCCTCTACCTCGCTAAGCCAGAAACAATGCTGGTGAAGAGGAAAGGTTGGGCATGAGGCTAGCAACCCCATCCTGTAAAATAAACACTGCTACAGAAACTTCAAGCCGATAGCTTGGAGCCCTATGTTCCACTGGGGGACGTGAAGGAAAAAAAGGAGAAAGAAGAAGATAATATTCCGAAGAAAATGAAAATGTATCGGTCAGACTCTGAGATGATCGTCGAGTGACACTGCTCACCAGCCGATCAAGTGAGAGCCTAATGGGGAACAGAGAGTTGCGAGTCAGATTATGGCATGTTGTAGATCGTACAACAAGGAGGTGAAAGCTTATGTGCAATCATGGAGCCCGCTAAGGTGCAATGTAGTAGACAGGTCAAAATAGAGATGTATTGTTGAAGCCTTACGTTCCACTAGGAACTCATCAGCTGATGAGATATTATCAATTTCAAAACAACCTACTTTGAAATTAGTTTCAGCAATTCAAACCAACCCTTATTCGATAAAGATTTCTAGAATATCATAAAGACTATTTAATCCATCCAGTCAAGTGTGAGGATGGATGTCCCAGCGATGACATTGGTTGGTGCGTCGCGCTAAATGCATCACGAATTGGTGGAAGTTAGAATTCATGGGCTAGCCATTGAATCGGGTCCCAGTGGCTGAATAGTATACGAGCTAGCTTGCCTTGTAACCGGAAGGTCATGGGTTCGAACCCCCTGTGGGCTGGGTGTTTACTGCCGATGATTTCCACACTAGGCAGAAATGGGTAACTGTCCAGTACTCCTTGGTTTTCAATGGTTCTCTAACTCATATCAATCCGTGGCCAAACTCATAAACCAAACTCTTGAAAATCCAATGTTAGATTTTCTCGTCGATTCATTGGACTGAAGTGCTCGGTCTCAGGTTGACATGTCGGCTTCTTGTGCAGATGCTTCGACGACGTTCGGGTATGTAATTACAAGTTAATTGGTGGATGGTGACTATCAGTGGAGTCCAGGATATTGCCCACTTCTTCCTATTTAGGAACCGTCATCTGGATGTACCTACAATTCCCAGTGAGTGATGATGTCCCTGCCACGGAGGCTCCAACCCAGTGCTCATAGTTTCGAATGCCAGAGTGTTATCCACTAGACCACTTGGTCCACGAGAGCCACCACCACTTGTGCAATGGGTCATATTAATTATTTAATTCAATTTTAGATTTTCCCGTCGATTGATTGATTGTACCGAAGTGCTCGGTTTCACTTATTGGAGAATGCAGGTACATCCAGCCACCGAGCCCTTAATACGGCGAAATACGCATCCTGGATTCCACTGCTAGTCACCATCGACCAAATGACTTCAAGTTACATGACCAGGCATCGTCGAAGTATCTGCACTATGAGCCAACATGCCAACCTAAGACCAATCGTACAGCCGTATATATATATTTGAATTACAATAAATAATAACAATCAGTTTTTGTGTGTATGTTAAAGTTTGACAGTGAGTGGAAATACTAAAGTGCTATAATAATATTGGGGTATAAGATTATGAGTCACAATTGATTAGGTGTACGATTCATTGAGGCCAATAGCAAATTACGTGGAAGAAACATAGAGATTGACAAGGTGGCTAAGGAAGTGTTGCACCCAAACTTAGAATTTAGGGGAGACACTGCGAGGGGGGAGGTACTTAAAAATCGTCTGACGAGATCGTTGAGGAAAAAAGTTCTTTGCTGCCACTGAAGCCATCTACAGGTGCGCCTTAATGTCAAGGAAATGTTACCTCGATTGTCTAATTCCAAGTGTATTTATATGTTCGCCTGCTCTTGTTGAGCTGGGTACATATCCCATCGCGTTTTAGAGCACGTTCCAGTTTACCTGAGCAAAGGAGAACGTAGAGGTATTAATTCAGCGATATTGCAACATATTGTAGATACTGACCACGATGCAGCATCTGACACATCGTTTAATATAATCTACAGATTCCCAGAACTAGGATGAAACAGCTTGCTGTCAAGTACTCTTGTCCTGGTTTTCAATGGTTCTCTAACTGATATCAATCCATGATCAACTCGTAAAAACAAAACTAATCCTTACAAACCAACTATAGGAACATAATCTACAAATTTTGACAAAGTTTGCTGAAAGGGACACGAGTGCATTTGCTTTGTATTTAGCAGAGGCTTTAGCAATACATAACACATAAAGCCAGAACTTTGTGCACAAAAGCAATTAGTACGATCTCTTTCGTTACCCCATGGTCTTGATCTTACTATGTAACTCCATATCTCACCTTTGTTTTATTTCATTTCACTTTATGTTATCATATTCTAACATTTTATCTAGTCTACTACTTTGACAACAATTCACTCATAATCATATCAAGGTAATCACACGACTTCCTAAATTCATTTATATAGTTTAGGAATTCAGTTATGCCTCACATCTACTGTCTTTAAATTCCAAGACAATATATATAGACAAACTGCAGGTGTAGCAATGTGATGGATCACCAATATCCCCTATCGTAGCAGATATATTTATGGACAGCTGGGAAAATATGCCTCTTAATACATTTAATCCTACTCCAATGATATGGTGGAGATATGTGGATGACACCTCCACTCGCAGTGTTAAAAACAGAACATATCTCTCTCTAGCTTCTTGACACACATAAACTCACTAGTAGAGGGAATACAATTCACATTTGAAACGGAAAATGAACAAGGAGAATTAGCTATGTTAGATTGTAAAATAAAACGAATAGAAGAAGGTAAACTACACACTAGCGTTTATAAAAAGCCAACGCATTCTAATAGATATTTAGACTTTAATTCATCTCATCCGTTATCTGTCTGTGAAGGCATGCTTAGTTAAGTGTTTAACAAACCGAGCAATAGCACTAAGTAGCACAAGAAAAGACTTAAATGATGAAATAAAACAGAGAGAAGAGGCGTTGGTGTTAAATAACTATCCTATAAAATTCATTAGGAAGATCAGTAAAGGCAAAAGCAAATTAAAAATAATTGTGAAACTAGTGATGATAACATAAATAAGAGAGAATATAATACATCTACTGTTACACCATATAAGGACGGGACATCTGAGACCTTACGTAGAATTCTTAATAAAGCAGAAATTACGGTGACATTCAAACCTACAAACACACTCAGGGTGGACAAGCTCTGTAGGTTAGAGGACTCTGTTGACTCAATTAAACAAAATAATATAATTTAAAATATACTTTGCAATGACTGTGAGTGAGTTGAACTACATAGGTCAGGGTAGAAGGTCGGGGGTAGTCAGATTGTCGGAACATAAGAATTTAGATAAGGTAAGAATGGTTGACCCAGAGAAGATAAGCAATTTAGAAAAAAGTTCAGCAGTTGCACTGAATGCATTAACACACAACCACGCAATAAGGTTGGCAGAGGGTTAAAATTCTAAAAAGTAATCTAGGTAGGTGGAGAGAGAGGTTGATTACTGAATCCTTGTTCATCGAGTGATCTACACCCAACACATGTAATAGGAATGAATCATCACTCATACCCGAAATATGGAAAATATTACTACCAATCAAATCAAGTGAAAAACAATGGAACTATATAAATGAATTTAGGAAGTCGTGTGATTACCTTGATATGATTATGAGCAATACATTGTACTCGAAACGTCATCAGTAAGCATTACTGCATAACACTGTGAAACTTTATCAAAACAAAGCTTACCCATGATGACCTCTGTTTATTTCAATAAGGCATTTAGAAGATAAATTTCGCGAGATGATATCGTCATTTCGTAGTTTCTCTACAACCGCTTTACAACTAACATAGTTCACAATAATAATAAAATAAAATGCATGACAATTACTCAGTTATATAAAACAAAAGTACATACTAATGACCAATCATCACATTTAAATAGGTCAAGTAGTCAGTTCATGGTAGGTGAGGGTTGAAGACTATTGTGTTGTTTGTGTACACATAGTTTAAGATGTATGTAATTAATCCCCAAAAGTGCTTCCATCCCCTTCAATAACCAACCTTGAATTAGAGTTATGTGATGAAATAATTGAAATAATATTGATTTTGTGACCTGACATTAATAAGTGCTTTGCAATGGATGATGGTGATAGATTTCTATTCAGATTAATTGGATTTTAGGATTTTCGATATGTTTTAGTAACCATTTTGGAACGTGTTCTTTTCGACGACATTGAAACATTATGCAATTCAATTTTAGATTTTCTCGGTCAAGTAACTGGACCGAAGTGCTCGGTCTTAGATTGACATGTCGACTACTAGTGCAGATGCTTCAACGATGTGGAATCGAGGGTGTGCATTACGTCCTATTCGGGACTTACTAGAGGTGGCTGTCGTGACTCAAGTGGTCTACTGGATAACGCTTTGGCGATTTGAAACTATGGGTACTGGGTTCGGGCTTCTTTGGGAACACCATTACTCATTAGGAAATGCAAGTACATCCAGAGGAAGAGTCCCAGATGGGACGAAATTCGCGTTATCCTGGATTCCAAGCACTGCTAGTCACCATCCACCAATTAACTCCAAAACTCGTTTTTCTATAGTTCTCGTTCTTCTGTCTTCCATTTATCGTAGGGATAGTAGAATTTTGTAGTTGCTTGAGACAAATCTTAAATCCTTCTTATGGCGTGTATTCTCACTTGATTAGATCAGTATAGCTTGGGTTATCGATATCTCTTCGCCCTATTACCTAAGATTTTAAGATGGTGCCATTTTATGGTGTGATTGTATGTAGTGCTATATCTGTGAAGACCGTGAAGGGCTTTGAAAGGAATGCCGAGAAAATACATTGCACTGATCAAGACACTCTATTCGAATTCATGCAGCCAGATGAGAGATTATG